TCTAGTTCTATATTCTTGAAGGTTATATCTTTGTTGCCTGCAAGTATCGCTGTTTTGTTTGTCCAAATAGAGTCAAATATCCATTGGTTTTGGAGAAAGTTTTGTGTATTTTTGTCATTTAAATTTGTTTTTTGTAACATAATTAGGTTCAGTTTGTATGATTTTAAGAAAGTTAAGATCTTCTGTTGTTTTTGCTGATTATTCAACCTTTTTACGTTAAGAGTTGCCATCTTAAATTTGATGTGATTAGTCATGAAAACTAGAGTAGTAGTACAGATTTAGATCTGGAAGTTCTGTACTCTATTACGAGGATTTCTGTATAGCACCTTTCTGATTGGCTCCACCTTTTGTTTCGTAGAAGTTTTCTTGTCTTTTTTTCTTTTGTATAAGACAATGGTGAATTCCTCTTCAGCATTAGCACAACGAGGCTGCAAGTTAATTTCGTTAGCAATTAGTACCAGAGGGGAGTTCAGGGCTTGAGGTTCTTCTGTTTCTACAACTGTAGTTTTAGAAGCATTGACAATGGGGCTGTTTTCTTTGTCCACATCACTGAGAGTTTCATTGTTGGGAACTTCTGAGTCTTCTTCTATCATTGTGGGGTTTATTGTCTCCTCTTCCCTAACCTTTTCTGAGTTGGTTAAAGTTTCCTCAGAGTTGGGTAAAGGAGTTTCTTTTGTTTGGTTCATATCTATGTTTAGGTTCTCTGTGAGAACCTCTTGTTTTAGAGTTTTGTTACTTTCTTCTTCTCCTTCAAAAGAGGTATTCTGTTTTTCTTCTTGTTTGCTGTAAACTCTTTATATTGTAGACGGAGTTTAACTGCTTGTAAGTATTGAGGATATTCCTTTTTGATATACCCTTCTTCATCGCAGAAGTAGCAAAGTTTTGGGCTGAGCGCCATTCTGTGGTAATTTTGTTGTCTATAAGTATGTAGAAACGTGGAATTCTTTCTTCAAGCTCTGTGTCATCTGTAGTTTCAAATGTAATAATCTATTGGTCTGTTAAATATGGTGTATCTTCAATTAAGAGAGGTTTGATTGAGGCAATTTTGCCTATATTATCGAAGGCTTTTCTAATTTCTTCTGAGATAAGGTTCTTGTCGCCTAGTGGAACATTTCTAATTTTGATTGGGAGAAAGGATCTTCTTGCATCAGAAGGGATGTAACCAAAGTATGTTCT